CTAGAATTATGTAAAACTTCTAGAATTATGTAGAAAACATATGTGTACTAGTAGAAACTACAACATGATTCTAGAAAAAAAAATGTGTAGAAATAGAATAGTGTAGAAACAATGAAATTAGTAGAAAATTCTAAAATCTTGTAAGTAAAGCCTATAAATAGGCATGAAGGGAGTCTTTGTATGTGTGGAAAATCTAATACAAGCTCCTACATATCTTGTAACACTTCTAACATCAATTACTATCTTCTCTCATACAAACCTTCTCCTATTTGTCCACCTCTTTCTAAAAACTATTTTCTATACAAATCTCACTACTAAACATCAAACTATCTTTCCTATCCTTCTTAAAATACTAACAGTGGTATCAGAGCCAGGTTTCGATCCTGGGACCTGTGGGTTATGGGCCCACCACGCTTCCGCTACGCCACTCTGATCAAACATCATCCATTCCAGTTCCTATTTTTAAGGGAGAAATTATGATTTTTGGAGAGTCAAAATAAGGACATTTTTTTGTTCTCAAGATCTTTGGGACGTCATAGAAGATGGGTTCACTATTCCAGAAGACATTTCAACTCTTACAGCTTCCCAGATGAAGGAGCTGAAGGAAAACAAACAGAAGGATTCAAGGGCATTATTTACTCTTCAGCAAGCAGTTGATGACACTATTTTTCCAAGAATAATGGGTGCCACAAGTGCAAAGGAAACTTGGAATACAATTCAGGAGGAGTTTCAAGGAAGTGATGAGGTACGCAATATTAAACTTCATTCACTAAGAAGATAATTTGAGTTAATAAGAATGAATGAATATGAGATCATAAAAGATTATTATTCTAGAATAAAAGAAATAGTTAGTCAGATGAGAGCCTATGGGAAAAATATTCTTGACAAGAAAATTGTTGAGAAAATTCTAATTTCTATTCCCCAAAAATATGATGCAATTGCAACTGCAATTGAACAAACAAAAGATTTATTTACATTATCGGTGACACAACTAATAGGCTCTCTTGAAGCATATGAACAAAGATTGAAAAGGCGTGAAGAAGACTCAGTCAAAAATGCCTTTCAATCAAAACTAAAATTATGGTCTCAAAATGGAGGAAATAAAATTAATAGAGAACTTTCTAAGAATAAGGAAAATTCTAGAAATTTTTCCAAGACTATTCAAGGAAAATATCCTCCATGTGGAACTTGCAAAAAGACAAGTCACTTGGAAAAAGATTGTTGGCATCAAGGAAAACCTCAATGTCAATACTGTAAGAAATTTGGACATCTAGAGAAAATGTGTCGCAACAAAAATCATCAACAAACAAATTTTGCCGAAGAACGGGACAGAGAACAACATCTCTTCTATGCTACGGGATGTTCTGACAATGAATCAAAAGGAAGATGGTACTTAGACAGCGGGTGTAGTAACCATATGGCAAATGATCCAAGCATCTTCAAAGAAATTGATAACTCCATCAAAGTTCAAGTACGATTGGGAAATGGCACTGTGGTAGAGTCAAAAGGAAAAGGTAGTGTTATGGTGGAGACCAAGAAAGGTATGAGACTTATCAATGATGTCTTACTAGTTCCCAATCTTAAAGAAAATCTATTAAGTATTGGTCAAATGATGGAGAAAGGATATACTCTCCACTTTGAAAGAGATACATGCACTATCTATGATAAGAAAAATCTAGAGATTGGCCAAGTATAAATGGAAAAGAGAAATAGAAGTTTTCCTATAAACTTCAATCGAGGAACTAACATTGTCATGAAAGTAGAAGTTGATGACTCGTGGCTATGACATCGTAGATTTGGCCACTTCAATACTCATGCCTTAAAGCTACTACATCAAAAAGGCATGATGAGAGATCTACCAAGCCTTAAGGAGAGTAGTGAAGCTTGTGAATGATGTCTTCTGGGAAAGCAACACAGATTACCATTTTCTACGGGAAATACTTGGACAGCAAAAGATTTGTTGGGGTTAATCCACACAGATATTTTCGGACCAATGAGGACTCCATCGCTTAATAACAACAGGTACTTCATTCTCTTCATTGATGATTTTTCTAGAATGACTTGGGTCTACTTCATCAAAGCAAAATTAGAAGTTTTTAGAATATTCAAGAAATTTAAGGCCCTTGTCGAAAAGCAAAGAAGAAAACAGATAAAGGTTCTTAGGAGCGATCAAGGCAAAGAGTACACCTCCCACGAATTTGATAAATTCTGTGAGGATGAAGGTATTGAGCGACAACTTATAGTCGCATATTCTCCACAATAGAATGGTGTCTCAGAGAGAAAAAATTGCACTGTCATGGAGATGGCAAGATCAATGTTGAAGGAGAAAGGCTTGCCAAATACATTTTGGGCAGAAGCAGTTTACACTGCTGTATATATACTCAATAGATGTCAACTAAGGTAGTCCAAAATAAGACTCCTATTGAATCTTGGAGTGGAAGAAAGCCATCAGCTAAACACCTACGAATATTTGGATTAATTTGCTACATACATGTTCCTGATAAGAGGAGGCATAAGCTTGGAGAAAAAACTATAAGAGGAATATTCTTGGGATAAAGCCAACAATCTAAAGGCTATCGAGTCTACAACCTACAAACAAAGAAACTCGTCATCAGTCGAGATATTGAGGTTGACGAAAATGCTTTTTGGAATTGGGAAGAAGAAAAAGTTGTTAGAAGCAACATCCTGGTTCCAGTACAACAACCTAAAGAAGAAACAGGAGATCCAGGTACGCTTTCTCCACCTCCACAAGAAGAAGAAGAATATACTTCACCAGATTCTACACCAAGACATGTAAGATCTTTGGTAGATATATATGAAACTTGTAACATGGCCATCATTGAGCCTTCCTGCTATGAAGAAGCTTCAAAGCAAGAAGTATGGGTCAAGGCCATGGAAGAAGAAATCAAAATGATTGAGAAGAATAATACTTGGGAGCTTGTGGACTGTCCTCACGGAAAAGATATCATTGGAGTAAAATGGATATATAAAACTAAGCTCAACCCTGATGGAACCATACAAAAATATAAGGCAAGATTGGTCGCAAAAGGATACTCACAACAACCTGGGATCGACTACAATGAGACTTTTGCTCCAGTTGCTCACCTGGATACAATTAGAGCTTTAATAGCCCTTGCTGCACAAAAAGGTTGGAACATTCATCAACTGGATGTCAAATCCGCCTTTCTCAATGGAACACTTGAAGAAGAGATCTATGTTAAGCAACCACAAGGCTTCATCAACAAAGGCCACGAAGGAAAAGTACTAAGACTAGGAAAAGCTCTATATGGCCTGAAGCAAGCTCCTCGAGCATGGTATAACAAAATTGATAAATATTTTATTGATCAAGGATTCAGGAGGAGCAAGAGTGAACCAACACTTTATATCAAGACACAAGGTCAGTATAATCTCATTGTCTCCTTATATGTTTATGATCTCATCTATACAAGAAACAATAAGGAAATGATGAAAGAATTCAAAGAAGATATGATGAAAAACATTCGAAATGGCTGATCTTGGCTTGATGAACTACTTCCTCGGGATAGAGGTGATACAACAAAAAGAAGGAATATTTATCTCTCAGAAGAAATATACTAAAGCTCTACTAAAGAGATTCAAGATGTACGGATGTAAACTTGTCACTACTCCTTTGGTGGTAAACGAAAAGCTAAAGAAAGATGATGGATCACCAGAAGTAGATGTATCACGATACAAGAGTTTGATCGGAAGCCTTCTATATCTCACAGCTACACGACCAGACATTATGTATGCTACAAGTCTTCTGTCAAGATTCATGCAAAAGCCAAGTCAGATTCACTATGGAGCAGGAAAAAGGATTTTAAGGTATCTGCAAGGCACAAGAGAGTTTGGTATATGGTACAAGACCATGACCAACTCAAGGATGATTTTCTACACCGACAGTGATTGGGCAGGATCGATAGACATGAAGAGTACGTCAGGGTACACCTTCTCACTTGGATCGGGTTTTTTCTCATGGGCATCAAAGAAGCAAGCAACTGTGGCACAATCAACAGCTGAAGCAGAATACATAGCTGCTGCTGAAACTACAAGTCAAGCAATATGGTTACGAAGAATACTTGAAGAAATGGGCGAACCACAACATGGACCAACTACTATCTATTGCGACAACAAATCAGCAATAGTAATGACGAAGGATCCTGTTCATCATCAAAGAACAAAACATATAACTATTAAATATCACTTCATCAAAGAGGCTGAAGCGAATAAACAAATTCAACTTGAGTACTGCACTACAGAAGATCAAATTACAGACATATTTACCAAGACACTACCAAGAGCCAAGTTTGAACAATTACGTTTCATGCTTGGAGTTACAAGAATTTGCATCAAGGAGGAGTGTTGAAAGATGATACAAATTCTAGAAAGATCTAGAATATAAAATCTTAGATGTTACTAGAATTAGGAATTACATATGAGTAATATCTAGAATCCTTATAAGATTCTAGAAATGTTTGAAAGTAGAAGATAGATAATTTTAGAATTAAGAAAATCTAGAATTATGTAAAACTTCTAGAATTATGTAGAAAAAATATGTGTACTAGTAGAAGCTATAACATGATTCTAGAAAAAAAAATGTGTAGAAATAGAATAGTGTAGAAACAATGAAATTAGTAGAAAATTCTAAAATCTTATAAGTAAAGCCTATAAATAGTCATGAAGGGAGTCTTTGTATGTGTGTAAAATCTAATGCAGGCTCCAACATAACTTGTAACACTTCTAACATCAATTACTATTTTCCCTCGTACAAACCTTCTCCTATTTGTCCACCTCTTTCTAAAAATTATTTTCTATACAAATCTCACTACTAAACATCAAACTATCTTTCCTATCCTTCCTAAAATACTAACATGTAAAAATCTTTTCCCATTGGTTTATAAGCAGTGTTTGGATCGCACACTTCTCATAATTAACATAACTGAAAAGTTTGGAGTCGAGATTTGTTAAGGCAAACTAAGATCATGAAAGAGTTTTTCAACCCATCAGGGACGTCAATTCTTGTACCATCAGTTCAAGAGTTGGCTAAGCAGAATTTGGCAACTGTTCCACGCAGGTACATTCAGCCTCAGCATGGAGAAGAAACGGTGCTCATTTCTCACGAAGTTGATGCTACCCTTCAGATTCCAGTTATTGACATGCAGAGGTTGCTTTCACAACAATCTGGGAGCTCAGAATTGGCCAAGCTCCACCTTGCTTGCAAGGAATGGGGATTCTTCCAGGTCTCTTTCATCCTCTTTATGGTCTTCAATTTCTTAATTTGTACTTGATGATGTGACTTTTCATTTTTATACTTATTTTCTACGTAATATCTGTATTTATAAATATATTCTTACTACTGAAAGGGATAACACAATCTAGTTGTCTGGAGAATAGAGTTATAAATTGATAAAACAAAAAATCAGTACATTTATTAGAGTTTCAATATCTTTTTATAGATGATAAACCATGGAATATGCTCATCCATTTTGGAGAAAGTGAAGTTGGAGATTGAAGATTTCTTCAACCTTCCAATGTCTGAGAAGAAAAAGTTCTGGCAAACTCCACAGCACGTGGAGGGTTTCGGACAAGCATTTGTTTTGAGTGAAGATCAAAAGCTTGATTGGGCTGACATGTTCTACATGGTCACCCTTCCAAAGCACTCGAGAATGCCCCACTTATTTCCAAACCTCCCTCTTCCCTTCAGGTTCTATTTCTATTTCTCTCTCTCTCTCTCTCTCTCTCTCTCTCTCTCTCTCTCTATATATATATATATATATATATATATATATATATATATATATATATATATATATATATATATATATATACGGCCACAAATAGAGTGTATTTGTTTATCATTTATATCTGCATATTCATGTTTGAGATTGCATGATTACTTACTCATTAATTATTGGTTTTTGTCATGATGCAGAGACACTCTAGAAGTTTACTCACAGAAAATGAAAGATCTAGCCATGGCTATAATTGGGCACATAGGAAAAGCATTGGAGATAGAAGAGATGGAAATAAGGGAAATATTTGAAGATGGGATACAAATGATGAGGATGAACTATTACCCTCCATCGCCTGAACCAGAAAAAGTTATTGGCCTGACCAATCATTCGGATCCAGCAGGTCTCACCATACTCTTACAGATCAATGAAGTAGATGGGCTACAAATAAGAAAACATGGCGTGTGGGTTCCTCTTAAGTCCTTGCCTAACTCCTTTGTTGTCAATCTTGGTGACATCATAGAGGTAAATTATTCATATTATATATATATATATAGAGAGAGAGAGAGAGAGAGGGGGAGAGAGAAAGAGAAAGGACTTTTATGTGGTGTTTGGCTTGATTTTCTTAATTTTAATTTGTTTTAAATGTTTAAATTCTACCAAATACTTCTTTTATAAAACATTAAATTTTTGGATTTTTTTAAATATTACTTTTTTTTTTTAATTTTAGGAGTCTTATTCACATTATAAAACTAGTTCAACTCATTAATAAATGTTTGGGTGATGTTTTTAAGTTATTTATTTGATTTAGTATTTTTATTCTTTTATTTATTTTTTAAGATTTCATATTAACATTTATCTTTTAAAAGAAAATATTTTTAAAATTTTGATCAATTTAGTCTTTGAAAAATAATGATTGTTTATTAATTTTGAAAGCCATCCTGTTCATAAAACGACAAAATTCAAATGAGTCATAACATGATAAAAAATAATAATTTTATAAAAAAACTATTTATAATCATTAAAATATTATTGTTTGTGTATTATTAATGAGATTTACTTATAATTTTTTTTCATGGTATATAGATTATTACAAATGGAATATATCGAAGTATTGAGCATCGAGCAACAGTGAACTCTGAAAAAGAAAGGCTTTCAATTGCAACATTCTATAGCCCTAATCAAGATGCTGAAATAGGTCCTTGGAAAAGTTTGATCAATGAAGAAACACCATCACTGTTCAAAAGAATTAGAGTAGATCAATATTTTAAGAATTTTTTTTCTCGGAAACTTGAAGGAAAGTCTCACAGAGATGCCATGAGAATAGAGCATCATATCAATTGAAAAAATTATTTCTACCATGAGCACAATAGAAAAGTTGTAATGATAACCTAAATAAGTTTATATGTGTAGTGCACTATTTAAAATTTTACTTAATGTGCATGTAATGTAATTTACACCTTATTAGAGACTAGTAATCCATAATAAATATATGCTTGATTATCTTTGTTATTAACTGAGTCGTGCTTATAATGACAACTACATCAATAATCTGGGCTGCAAAGGTGAAACTATTTTTTGAATTTCAGTTTTTTAAATTGGATCTATTAAAATGTGAATGATTGATAAATTTTATTGGATGATGTCAGTATAGATTAATAATATGTTTAGATAGGACATTTGTAGAAGGTAATTTGTTTTTATAAAAGATATGAAAATATTTTATAATAAAAATATATTATTTGAATACAAAATAAAAATAATTTGATTACTTGATATCTGAAAATTTAATATCTGAAACTCATTTAATCTCTGCATTAAATGGGTTCAAATTGGATTGGTATTGACTTCATTCGTTTTTCTTTTAATATTCTAATTTTTTATTCATGATTTAATTAGATCCGTGAAGAAAAAAATATTTAAGAGGGTGAACTACCTAATTTACTTATATTAATAAGTTATCCTATTTAATCCACACATTTTAATAAATAAAAAAAAATAAAAAATAGTTAGGAAAACATATATTTAAAGGGTCGATTCATCTAACTTATATATAAAATTTTTTTATTCAATAAAAAAATTAGACAAGTTGAGTTAACCAACACTTTGAAGCCTCAATTTGTATGTGGGTTTGAGGATGGTAGGAATGAAAAAGACGAAAAAAAATAAATAAAAAGTTAAAAAAAATTAAAATAAAGAAAAGAGAATAATAAATAAAAAAATGAATAATAAAAATATAATTAATATAAAATCTATTTAATTAATTCAAATGAATGACTAAAATATATTTTTATAGTTTTAATAAAAATAATTTAAATTATAATTGAGATATAATTTAATATAAAGTAATTATTTAATAAAATATAAAGTTAATTTATATATAATCAAAAAATCTATCAAAATATAATATTTTAAATTATTAAGAACACCAAAATATTAAAATCCTAATGAGATGTTTTAAATTAAAAAAAAATCTTTTAAAATAAGTTAAAGTTTCTCTTAAAACAATCGTAATTATAAAAATAACCTAAGGAAAAAAATGTCTTCTTATAATAAAAAATATAAAGGTTGAAATCCCTAATAATTTTAATTAGTTTTCAAATAATTTATAATTAAATGTCATCAAATATTTTTATCTTATATTTAAAAAATTAACTTGTTTTATGTACAAGGATGGTTGAGATCGAAACATTCCAACAAAAAATATTATATTATATTAAATTTCTAAAAAAGAATTGTATTATCAAATGAGCAAATGTTGAAACTTTTTGTAAAAATGGAACACGGATTCTGAAGGCTTCTTTAAGCAAAAATAGAACCTTTACAATTGATACTTCGGCATAGAATCATATGTCTTTTGTAACTACAATTACCAACGTCAACTAGTTATGGCATTTGATATATGATCATCCAAATTTCAATAGCCTGAGTCAACTAGCAAAGAAGGAGATGGTGATAGGATTGCTTCAAAATCAAAAGAGTGAAGTTGCCTATGAGAGTTGCGTGATTGGAAAACAAACAAAAAATTCCTTCAAGGAGCATATTGAAACCAGGAGTAAGAATGTGCACCAATATGTGTGGACCTTTCGAAGTATTCTTACTTTGTGAAAACAATATTTTGTTACGTTTATCGATTATTTTAGTAAAAAAATATGGTTGTATCTACTTGATAGAAAACTAAAAGTTTTTAATTATTTTATCGAGTTCAAAAACTTAGTCGAGAAACAAAGTAGAAAAATTATTAAAATCTGGAGATGGGATAGTGCAAGAAAAAAGTATTCTACATGAACTTGTACCCCTATATACACCAAACATAATGGTGTTACTAAAAGAATAAATTAAACAATTCTTAACATATGGTCAGAAATATGTTGAAAAGCAAAAGTTTGTTACATTCTTTTTGTGGTGAAGCCATTGTCACTGCAGTTTATATTTTAAATTGATGCCCAACTAAGAGAGTTAAGGAGAAGACACCAGAAGACGTTTGGTCAGAAAAAAAAGCTAGTGTAAAGCATTTGAAGGTGTTTGGTTTGATTAGTTAGAGACATGTTCCTGATGAAAGAAGAAGAAAGCTCAATAACAAAAGTAGGAAGCTAATTTTGGTTGGATATCATCTAACAGAAGTTTGTAAATTGTATGATACTATCACCAAGAAGATTACTATCAACATAGATGTTATAGTCGATGAGAAAGCCAGCTAGCATTAGAATTTGATGGCGAATGTCGCCGCCGTCAAAAGAGGCGGTTGGAGCCACGTGATGGTTTTCATGACTCACGTTTTCTAAAGAAGTGGTCAACGCTTTTAGGTTGTCTGATAACCGGACTGAACCTAAAAGCGAGGTTTTTGTAAAGGGCTCTATGGAGTCACCACCGATGCTTTTACCATAAACATCGGAAAAGGAAGAAAAGAAGGCGTTGAAAAAACCAACTTTGACCGTTACAACTAGAGTTGTGTAAGGGAGTTAGTTATGTGTGGGGAAGGTGTTAGCACCCCACAGCGCTCCTTTCGGGTTCCCTATGATGGACTAATTCATATAATAGAGACTAAGAAAAATTATGCTTCTACCCTATTTATTTATCTACTTTGCGGAATTTTAAATATCTACATGACCCTAGTATCTAATGCATACAAGGAAAGCAGTAAAAGAAAGCAGTAAAAGAGAGAGAATAGGGAAAGGAACCTCCGAAGCGCGTTTTCTATTAACTCTTCAAACTTGAGGACGCTTTTTGGTAATCCCCTCGCTCTACAAGCATGGTCCTCACCAGCAAAAGAGAAAATACCTCCCCAACGAGTTCCGGATGTCTCAAAAGGAGACTTCCTTAACCAATTTCTACTTTAAAAGGAAATCAAAAAGTTTACTTGAACTCTGGAAAGTGCTCAGAGTTATCCCAAAGTATTAGGAGAGCTTCTAGGATGAGAGAAGGGTGTGAGAATGTCTGGAATGAGGGAAATGGGGGTCGTATTTATAAAGAATCGTGCCAGGAAAAGTGGACGACCGTCTGGTCTAAGTGGACGGCCGTCCATGGCAAAAAATGGGCATGGACGACCGTCTATTTAACATGGACGACCGTCCATGGCTGAAAATAGGCATTGACGACCGTCTGGTCCAAATGGACGACCGTCCATTGCTTGAAAATAGGTATGGACGACCGTCTGGTTAGCCTGGATAACCATCTGATGTTCCCGACAAAATTTCTGATTTTTATTTTCTCAGAAAACCCTCCTTATCTTAAATGGAACCTAGAAAAAGCTACTAGGGACTTATCAAAGTCTTGACCCTTCGAAACGAAGGATTTCTGATTTTATTGCTAGGTCGGGCAAGATTTGGGGTCTACAGCGAAGAACAAGACTATTAGTTTGGATGCTTCATGTGATGAAGAAATTAATCAATTCAAAAAATTGAAGGAAAAAATCGATCGATTCAAGAAATCAATTGATTCAAGAAATTGAAAAAAAAATCGATCGATCAAGAAATCGATCAGCAAGCAACGATAAGAGAAAGAAATCAACCAGCAAGAACAATAAAAGCACTAGCAAGACTCAATGATAACATGATAAATAATGATAATACAGTTTCAACAACAACATAAATTATTGGAGAAACTGAGGATGAAAATTATCTAGTTCTATATGCTGAAATTGAACCAGAATCGATGTGTGTTGAAGATGCAATTGAAGATCCTAAGTAGATAGAGGCAGTGAAAGAAGAACTGCTTTCCATTGAAAAAAATATAATACGTGAGAATTAATTGATATACTGAAGAATCAAAGACCCATAGATGTGAAATGGGTATATAAAACTAAGTTGAAGCTAGATAGAACAATCACAAGGTATAAAGCCAAAGCCAGACTTATGGCAAAGGGTTTTCTTCGGAGAGAAGGCTTGATTACAAGGAAGTTTATGCACAAGTAGCTAGAATGGAGAAAGTAAGAATTGTTGCAGCTTTTTTTGCAAGTTATAAAAGATGGGAAACACATCAAATAAATGTTAAATCTGCGTTTTTAAATGGTGAATTGGAGGAGGAAGTGTATGTTACATAACCACTAGGATTTATGATCACTGGAGAAAACAAAAGGTAATTAGACTAAAGAAGGCTTTGTATGACCTGAAATAGGATCTTAGAGCTTGGAACATCAAAATCAATAGTTTTCTTATATAACAAGGTTTCTCCAAGTGTGAAGTGGAGGAGTATGGAATTTAATTGAAGATTAAGAGTGAGGAAGTATTGATAATATGTTAATATGTTGATGATTTATTAATAACTGGCAACAAAACTATATCGATTGAGGGTTTCAAAAGAATGATGAAGGATCAGTTTGAGATGACTGACCTAGGGAAGTTGTTGTACTTTCTAGGTATGGAGTTTATCAAAGGCAAAAAAGGGATTTTGGTTCACCAAAGTAAATATAATAATGAAGTTCTAAAATGATTCATTATGAGTGAATACAGTGCGACAACTACACTAGTTGAAGCAAATTTGAAGTTAGACAGAGATGAAGAGGAGATTGTCGCCACCACAAAAAAGTAGTCGAAGCGACGCAATGGTTTTGATGACTCACGTTTGTTTTAAAAATATGGTCATCGCTCTTAATGTGTCTGATAACCGAACTACCCCTAAGAACGAGGTTTTTGTAAATGGGTTCTGGAGTCGCCACCAATATTTTTACCATAAACATTGGAAAAGGAAAAAAGAAAGCGTTGGTTTAAAAAAAACTAACTTTGGCCATTATAACCAGAGTTGGGTAAGAGAGTTAGTTACGTGTGGGGAAGGTATTAACACCCCCACAACACCCCTTTTGGGTTCCCTATGATGGAATATTCTTAAAATAAAGACAATAAAAT